GGCAGCGCTTCCGCATGGCTCACGCAGGAATGAATGAATGGCTGGACGCTGCCTCTTGATTTATACTTCTGTAAGTCGCTGGTCTGCCCTTTTCCCCCGGGCCCATGGTGCAAACAGTCCCTCATGGTACTTGCTGACTGTACAAAGTGAGACTGGGACTAGGTACTGCTGACTAAGCGAAGTTGGACTCACCACTTGCCCACTTGCCTCTGGTCTGCTGTGTATAACGTGAGAAGAGCTTGAAAGGCCACCTTCCGGAAGTCTGTGGATTTGGCCTTTCAGGACTGTAGCAGCTACGACCTTGACCTTTCAGAGTTACTACAGCTACAGACTCTACACAATTATGACCCCCTAGTCTACAGATCTACAGATCGAACCCCTACTGCTACACAGCCCTACGACAAGTAACAGTCAACTACCAAAACACAGATCACGGGTTCAAACACACACACAGGGAACAACTTGATACTATTCACGGGTAAGGTGAGGTCTAGGGATCGAGCCCTGGGATCTGCATCTGTTACTGCAAAGGTGAAAAACCCTTTCACACCAATCAACCCTAATCAAATCAATCACAAAGGCGACAAAAATGGTCGCTCGTAATACCGATACAGAAATGAGAAATTCAAAAAATTAATCCGGAACAAGGGAGGTGAGGTAGATATCCATACATTGTCCAGGGAACGGCCGGTCGTTCAAGAAAGTTTCAAGAGAAGCATACTGATATCTTTCTCTGAATCAAAAGCCAGCTCACACGAAGTTGCATTCAGACTCGTCTCGATTTCACGTCCAACATGCATACATGCAGATGCTGATGGCAAAATAACTTCCTCAAAGCAGAATCAGCAACAAGCTTGAGATGGCGCAGTGCGCCCACACAGAAAATTCAGGGATATGGCCTTCGGCCAGGAACTCGGCTCAACACAACTTGTCACATCTTGCGGCTGTGGCATCTGAGTGCCAGCAGTCTGAAATTCCCCACCCGAACACTGTATCCACCACCATCAGTCACACTCACACGCATGTACGTACACAACACTTGGATCTACCCTGAATGTCTGCACTCACACACACTATCTTCTATCTTCTACACGTGGGCAGCTATGGTCGCCGTCGTCTTCCTCCTGCTAGCGGCTATGGCCTCTTGCCCTCATCAACCCGGGCTCTCCTGCTGACCACCTGTGACTCCACACACAAGACATGCAAGCAGTGCTTCTGCGTAGTTTGTCTCAGAATCAGTCCATGACTGAGCGCTGCCTCTTTATTTATACTGTTTCGTTTGGTGGTATGGGCCTGCCCGATGTCCCAGGCCCTCAAGATGTGCAGTCCCACTCTGGTACTTGCTGCAAAACGGACTGGACTGGGACTGCCTTTTCATGTGCCCCTTCGGGGTTGACTTGGGACTCTTGACCTTTCAAAGATTTGACAGGCTGCCTCTACTGACTTCGAGAGGTCAAGTTGACTCTTTGAGACGTAACCTAGCCACAACCTACTGACCTTTCAGAGGACGTATGGCCAGTTGACCTTTCGAAAGGTCAATCGTAAACTTGCCTTTTCGGGACACCTACAGACGACCCTCAGACTTCTAAACAATAGACGTACGGATCAAATCCACACGACCGGGGCTTCACACACAAGGCATTTATACATGGGTTTGGGGACGGGTCGTGGGTTCAAGGCACACGGGGTCAACGAACAACACAAGCGTACTGTACACTGGGTTGGGAAAAGTCTGGGGATCAAGCCCCGCTATCTGCAATTATTGCACGAACTAGGTGAAACCCTCTCACTCCCGCCATGCTAAATTTGAGGTCCTCTGAGAACCCTTTAATCGAACAAGGCAGGACCTTTTCCTTTTCTTGCTCTCTCATAAGCATGGACTGCATTGGGAGCAGATTCCAGAAGTTCTGTCCTGGTGAACCATCTGTCGTCCTCAGGTTCCTGGTAAGCAAACCTGACTTTGTATTGCTTCCGGGGACGACCTCTACCTCTGGTTCGGAATACATTTTCTTCTAATATTCGGTCTATGTCATATGTGTCATCCATATCTGGCAGAATCATGGATCTCCACGAAGGAAATTGGTCACTGGTGACACAAGGGAACAGCTTTGATGCATGAAAGGCCGGATACGTGCGGAGCTGAGCAGGAATCTCTATGATATATGATGGTCTGTCCTCTCCACCTTTAACTTCTAGGACAGGCCACGGCCCTCTATATGCGGGCAAGAGCTTATGTGAGATGTTTTCTTCTGATGCGAATTCCTTTAACTTGACCCAGACTAAATCGCGTACCATGAATTGCGATGGTCTGCGATGCTTATTCGCTTGCTTAATCATGTGTATTGAGCGCGCAATACACGCGGGATATGACGGTAAAGCGAGTGGCGGCGCCGGAGCGCTCATTACTCATGAAGCGCGTGCGTTAAGTTAGGGCTTCTTGTGTGCTGGACTTACCCGCCATATCCCAGTGCGCGCAGCACGAGAGAAGTCCATGGTGTTGTAGAGGCCAGTCACTGAGTGCACAGTGATCACCTGGAGCAGTGGGCCATGGGTGTCAGCCGTCAACTGAAGCGGGCTTGTCCTTAGGGCAAGGTAAGGTTGGGGGATCTCGGGAGTGAGGGGATGTCGACACTAAACTTGCTGAAATTATATATGAACAATCTTGAATATGCCAGAGCCGAAGAACGCTGAGAGCACCGTCCTTCCCATGGAATAACCCTTGCCGCCAGAGAGTGATGTAGTCAGTCTTTCAGCTGGATACATCTTAAACGCTTAGGAAGCGTGTCTGAACGAGAAACATTGTAGACAGCGGAGGAAAGCTAAGAGCCGTGGATCTTAGTTTGAGCTGGTGAGGGACAGGAGAGAACCTCTCTATGA